CTATCTAGCAGGGCTGACAAAAACCTCAATGTATCCTTTATTAATTTAATGATCCTTAATTAAGTTCTTTTGTATTCTTGCTGCATTCTAATATAGCTAGAAAATCATTTTAGGGAGCCCAATCTATGTATTACATGGGTGAGCATTTGGGATGGGGACACAGCGCTCAACCTGTGACTCTCTTCTTACCCCAACCATATTGTGGCTGACACCTTGGATGGTGGCACTTCGGCTGCTTCCATTGCGGTAATAACGGGTGGCTGTGGCAGTGAAGGGAACCTGTCCTCTTATTTTCGTGCCAGTCACTACCAACTCACAGATGTGGTTAGCAGGGACTTCAACCTCGAGTGTCTCGGAAAATGTGGTCGATTGGCTGTATTTATAACCCTTATTCCAGGTGAAGGTTTTCCCTAATGAAATGCTCCACGATCCTCCTAAGACCCCAGGTATCCCTGCTGTCATGCTAAAGCTCATGTCCTGAGAGATGGACATGCCAACATCCCAGGTATGTTCAGAAGTCACTGTTCCCGACAAAGTGGTGGTCTTCTTCACTGCCCTACAATCTTTATTGGTGAGTTTGCTGAAGGCTAATCTCATGTCTGACTCACTGTAGGATCCCTGGTTTAGCCTGTACCTGACATTGGATATGCTCTGAGAGTGATAGTCTTTCTTAATGGTCAGGACATCATATCTTTTATACCAGTACTCCTTGCCATTATAACCGAGGAAGAAGGCTTGATTTTTACTGTCTACCTTCCCTAATCCATACCTATTTTTACCCACATATAATTTTACATCTGTGCAGGTGTTGATGGAGTTGGATGGGACTCTACCCCATGAACCTCCCTTCCAGATCAGTGATTCAAAGTCCTGTCCATTCACCAAAATCCAAAACTGAGTGGTGGAGCGTTCTTTGTTTCCATATGGGTAATAGCAGTAAGAACCACGGTTGGGACTGTAGAAACCAGCTGCACAGCCTGAAACCTTGCAGGGATATTCCGTCCTACTAGCATAGCTGTTCCAGTAAGCCACAGCTCCGCTGGGGACATAGCCTGGGAACCAAGTCCAGCTCATGGTTGTTCCATGGAAAACACCAGGGCTGCTGCCTTTTGCTTTCCCTGGGAGAAAAAAATGAAAGAGAAATAAAGGAAATCAGCTTT